GCCCAAGCCAGGCAGGCAGAGGAGGAAGACACGCGAGGCGTTGGAAGGGAGTCGATTTCTCTTCGGCTGTTTCGACCCAACGGTGTTGCTGAAAACGGGTACATTCGAGGGGTTCTCAAAATTGGTTTTTGGGGGTGATTCCTTTGAGCTGCCATTTAGAGGGAACATTGCGACAGGTTGAGACGCGGATCACAGCGATATCCGCCCAACAAACATTGAAGCTGACAAGAGGGCTTTCAGACACGAACGACCGCTCGCACACACACAACAAACACACAGAGACGCAACACACAGACCCAAACACACACACACACAACCAAACACCCACACACCCAAACACCCACACACACACACACCCATATTACGTCGGTCCACTGCAGCTTGATTGCATATTCACCCTGAAGCCCCCTTTGGCAAGGAGGCTGACGAGCTTGGCGTGGTCTTTGTTGTTGTCAACGTGCTGCTGCTGCTGCTGCTGCTGCTGATGATGGCGATGATGATGACGATGAAGATGACGATGATGATGACGATGAAGATGACGATGAAGACGACGACGACGACGATGACGATGATGATGACGATGATGGCGATGGCGATGGTGATGACGGTTACTGACGATGATGATGACGATGAACACGATTACTGACGATGATGATGACGATGACAACGACGATGACGAAGCCGATGACGATGCCGGCGATGATGATGACGATGACAATGACGATGACGAAGACGATGACGATGCCGGCGATGATGATGACGATGACGATGACGATGACGATGACGATGACGATGATGATGATGATGATGATGATGATGATGATGATGATGATGATGCTCATGATCATGATCATGATCATGATCATCATGATCATGATCATCATCATGATGAGTGTCGCGGTCCAGATCAAGATTGATTCTCATCACAAAATGAGAAAAAATGAGGAGGTTGCCAGGAAGGAGGAGGAGTAACAAGTCGGAGGAACATGCACTCTGCCAGTGACCGGATTCTGCACATAACATAATTCATGGGAGTCTGCGTTTGCATCTTATAGACACTTCGTTTTGAATTGGGGCTGGGGAGCCATCGGAAATTGCTGCCCAAAATACAGCCATTCGAATCCCCAGTTACGTGGATGCACTCCTGTTCTAGTTGGTTCCTGCACCATGCCTCGGGTCCAAGTGCCTGGTCCACGCACGTGGACCAGCTTTTTACCCCTCACGCCTGAAAGCCTTCTTTCTGTGTTTCAACCGCTTTTGTTTGGTCATACCTCAACATCAGGTTTTGAGCTCCAGATTCAAGCCCTAATGGAGCTCAAAGAAGGCAAGATGTGTAGATGTCTTTCCTTTCCAGGTCAGTTTGCGGAGCCAGACTTGGACAATCGGTTCAAACGTTTGCGGGCCCATCCCCGAGTACCCACAAAAAGCTGCCTTCGGCAAGGTTTTACATCTATGTTTGTTGCAATTGAAAACATGAGTTTCCCGCCTGGGAACACCGGGTGTCGCCCCAGGTGGAGCGGTGCGGCCAATTGTTTGACGGTCCCCAACCTTGGGGACCCAACATGCGGCATGCACGGGTAGAAAGCCACCTCGGGTGTCTGAGAAATAGAACGAGCTCTTGAAATAAATGAGCGATTCCACACATGAAGGTCCTTTACCGTTTTTGAAACTGTAATTTGCAAATGCGTCAAACTTTGGACCCTTTGCTGGTGGTGTTTTTCTCCGCATGTGCAGGAACTAGCTGCTTTTAGACCAAAACCAACACGAGACCAACCATTCCTGGTTTCGACACATTCCATCCAGAACTCTCAAGGCTGGTCTCTGGCAATACCTGAACACTTGCAGCAGGTTCTGACATTTACTATATCTACTCATATTAGCCTGGGATTTTGCCCCATTCTGACAGCATGGCCGGTTTTTTCAGTTCAACAGCTTCTGACTTGTTTGGCGCAGATGTCTTAGCTGCGGCCCAAACAGGTCAATATTATTTTAAACACGTGGAGTTAAGCTCAAAGCAAGACGAACGACGTGCTCAACCGAGCTTGTGTAGTCCCTGGGTTCAACCGATTCCCATTACAATAATGGCAAGGACCCAATTTGGATGATGAACATTTCGTGGTTATATTAATCCCCATTGTTTTAATACGCCCAGGGTAGTGTTTCTTAGACTTAGTGGCTGCAACTAGAATCATCCAGAAGCTATGTCGTGGCTACAAGCATACCAGCGGACCTGCGTCCACGAGGCGGCCGCTCGCGACATTTCCCCGCCGCAAACCTGCAAACGACTAAAGCGACTAGGTCCCATAGTGCCTTTTTTTGGTTGGGAGGGTCCTGCTAAAATGGACTACAGAGAAAAGTTGGTACCCTTATTCTAACCCCTCTACTGGAAGACCTAGGCGATGCTGACCTTGGTACTTGCAAAGCGATGCTGATCTGGATACATGTTTACACAAGTGCAGGGCAGATGGACTTGGGCGTGATGCCCCTGTGTCACAGACCGCGCGGGTGGTGATTTGCACATACTTCACGCGGGAGAGCAGATGATTTGCGCGCTGACAGCCCACGGCTTATGGGCAAGTCAGTTGCCCTTGGCCTCATCCCCAGCCCTAGTCGTAGCCTTGTTCCTTTTGGGGAGGTGTCTGCGTAAAGTCAACTTCAAGGTTTGTCTCCAAGGTTTGTCGCCGTCAAAATGGCAGGTGCCTCACCGATACCCAACAGGGGATCCTCACAAAAGCCACACGCGCCCAACTTTGCCAAGCCTAGCTGCAACTTTTGGTTGCCAGGTGCTCCCAAGTCTTGGCTTTTGCGGTATGGCTGTGTCTTTCTTCGACTTTCTACCCTTTTTGGGTTGGCGTGGAAAGGGCAAAAGGAACGCCAATCTTGAGTCCCCGATTTTTGAGACAAGCCCATATGTGTGAAAAGGGGCAATGGGATCCCCGAAATGGCGATATGCTCCCTTGGCTTTCCGTTAAACCTGGGAAGGATATCCTCAATCGAAGTCCCGAATCCCTGCCCGAAGTGGACGCCGCTTGGTTCCGCCCATTGTAGAGGTTCAACATGCGTCCAAGCAGAGTTTCTCACTTTCTGAGTTTCGCCGACAGTACGCACATGTCCAATTTTCCAGGATAGTTTGAGGGTCCTGGTACCCTTTGGGCGATGTTTTGAAACTTGGACCAACAAGCAGCCGTCTATTTGGAGTGCCTAGTTGTGCCATCTAAGTGGCGCTCTCAAGGGGAATTCCGTAAAACCAGTAAAATATACCTCAAACTACTACCCGTATGAGGCTCGGTCCAGTTTTGATCCATTTGGGAGACTTGAGGAACATGAACCCTCCCCACCAAAACCGATGGACTTTCAAATCTACTCATTCACGTCGAAGTTTGATTGTGGCACATGTAGGTACATACCCCCTCCGGTTTATAGAGAAAACACAAATTTGGAGCTCGGAAAACTGCGGGGCTGATTTGATGCCTGCGGCTCGCATTTCTTCTGCAACCCGGTCTCTCACTTCCCCGTGGTTCAAGTGCCGGGTCTGGCAATCTCTCGCTTGGGGAGCCCTTTGCGCACAGCGTTCAGGTGGGGAGTGATGTCCCCTTTTTTGGGGGGAGTCCAGTTGAATTCACCTTTTGGCGCCAAAGAGCCCATAATCTGCAATTCTCCCCCCCCAAAAAAGGGGGTTCTTCCAGCCTCCCTATTTAACATCCAGACCTGCAGCTTGTGGAATGACAGTACGCCAGCCTAAAGACGTGTCCCGAGCAAAAGGAACCCATGTGGGGGAGGGTGTTTGTTGAGGTGATCCGAAATTTCAGGCGAATGAAATGTTATGTTTTACACAATGCCATGGGTGACGCAGCGTATGTACTTGCTGCTGGTTTGCCGCATTTGAAGGCTCAGCTTGCAATCGGGCCGTTGTCCATGATGTGATGCTGCATGCTTCAAGTTTGCACATGGTATAAGCAGATTTATAGTTCAGGAAAGCGCCGTACCCTGTTCCATGGTTGGGTTGCTTGCAATATGTTTTTCTCCGAAGTTTGGTGTTCCTGGGCGAACCTGAGTTTGCCATGGCCTTTGCAATGACAGACAAGGACCCAAGCTCGGCGCGCGGAGTTTGGCAACTTGCCCTCCGAGCCGAGACGTCCTTTGCATGATCTCCCTGATCGACTTGGATAGACCCGCGCAGGCGAGAACAAAAGGTGCAAGCCGAAACTCGCGCGCCAGCGACAGGGTATTTGTTGATGGTGCCCAACGGGTCCATGTACCTGCATAGTAATGTTGACCCCGGATGAATAAACCCCTGCTTATTAACATGGGGGTGCTCCCCTCCAACCGTGATAAATCCCCACTAAAACCGGGGACACCCCCATATTAATAGACAGGGGTTTATTAATCCGGGGTCAATAGGTAACCAAGGGAACCACCCTTTGAAAGCCAAAGCGAACATCGCTGGTTACCTACCATATGGCAAAGGCTTCCTGTCAATGGAAACATTTGGATTGTGTGTTGATCGTCCAAAAGCCCTTCGCGGCCTTTCATTCAAGACCTGAACTCGACAGTTTCAGTCGTATACGGCGCTGTCGTGCAACCAGCTCAGTTCTGACCTCGGGGGGCTGAAACCATGAAGCCAAAAAGAAGCTCGGCGCCTGAAATAGGTTTGCGTCTTCAGTTTGGACATGGTATGACTCTGGAATCCAAGCATGATCCCAACAAAACCAACCTAAACCAGTCGTTTGGTGCACATGACTCTGTGGAGGTTGCAAAAGGGGTGTGTGTGTGTGTGTGTGTGTAATTACCCGGAAACTCAAAACATGGGGATATACAATTTGTCATAAGTATATATTATCTTACAACTCGTTTATGTGTTCTGATATAATGAAAACACAAAAAAAATACAGACTGTGCCACATTTAATGTCACAAATACAACAATAAAACATAGCAGCACTAAATATTGTAGAACAAGGACTCGTATCAGCAAAAGAAGAAATAAGCCAGAAAGAAAAAGAAGCACACACAAATAGCAAAACTGCTTCTTGTGGTTTAGTGGTTGAAATCCAACCACTTAACTGCTAAAATATATTTTGTTTGCTCCCCTTCCAACGTCAACCAAGTCTTTCAGCCAGGATCTGCGAAGGATCCGATTCGCCGCTTTCCGGCCCCGCAGCTGGTGGGTTCCAGAAGCAAGGCATGGCTTTGCTCTCCAAAGGGCCGCTGACTCAGAATAAAACGATGCCAAGCCACGTGGACCTCAACTGGCCATGTGGACCGCAAGATGGCCATGGGTCAAAACCCCTTACCCCCAGTGAACATCCCACTCCCCACCAAAATAGACTAAAATGGGTGGTGCACCTGCCTCAAAATGGTACCATTGGTGTTGACCCACGGCCAAATAGGAGCTCGAATTTGGAAGATTGCTCCCAAAAATATGGGCCGATGTCCAATCTACAAGGATACTTTGAGGTTCCAAGGGGGATCCCAGTAGTTTAGAACATCGATTTGCTCCACTGGTGTTTCATCATTCACCAGGCCTATTTGTGTTTCCAACAGGACGCCTGTGTATCGCGAGCTGTTCCCAACAAGCTTGAGCATCCCCCGCCCATGCACTAACGTGGAACCCACCACAGCACCCCTAGCCTCAAAACCTCAAAACCTCAAAAAACAACTGCAAACAGGGTGGCTCTGGGGCCCAATGTTTTGGGGCTGGTTTGGGGTACCCTTACCAGTCCCGGACCAAAATTGCCCATCACAATTTTAGAACGGGACTTGTAAGGGTACCCAAAAACAAACCAACAGGGTGAGAGAATGAGTGACTGATGAAGCAAGTGGGCAAATTGCAGATTGCCAAGAATTAGCCGAATAGTCGGTGTTATAAAGGTGATAACATGAGGTGCACTCACTGAATTACCACCAGTCCACGGGTTTCTCACCAATGTTCACTCAACACATGTATTGACATACCCATGCCTTGAGACGTCCATCATACAGGCGCTTGCGTCACTCGCCAAGCACCAGCAGGAACTTCACCATGACTGTATTTGGTATTATTGGCCCGCTCAGACATGAGAGTGAATACATCCAACGTCAAAGGCTGTGATTGTTTTTCATTACTTGCTATTTTAAATAGACAGGCTTCCTACAAGAAGCCTGAGGCCGGCCGAAGGAAACACCATGTACCAGCTGATCCTGAGGATCCCCTTGTAGATTATGCGGGGGTTGGATGCATCCTCTAAGGAACCCTATATAGACTTTCATGTTTCATGGCGAAGACCTCAGAGTTGCGGAGGAGCACAGGGGAAGGACGATAAGGAATTCTCGAGCCAAAGACCTGGGTTGGTTTGTCTCTGCAAAAAAATGGGTATGTGTCAAAACCAGGGACAGTCTTGAGGGTTCTACAAAAGCCTAGTATATATAAGTAACAGGTTCCATTGGCCAAATCAGCTTCCCTTTTTGTCTCCAGGTCTAGCCATGGCAATCCAGCAAGTTGGCATATTTTCATGGAACGAATACCGCGCCTATTGGTTTCTTTTTCACAAACTCTGACGCTCCAGCGCGTTGTGCAAGGAGCTGACGTTGTGTTTGGGGGGAAGTGTCTTGGGAAATCACCGGCGGTTGCAATGTGTTTTTTTGTTTGAACCATTTTTCCCAGTCGTCCAAACTTTTGACACCTAGCTGATTACGATCTTTGGGGTGTGAAGGAAGGGTCCGCGTGCTGGCGCGCCTCTGGGAGCAAGAGCGCCAGAGCTTAGATGCAAGCTATTAACCCAGTGCGCATAGGTTCCTGAACAGGGTGGGACCAAGGGGATCCCCACTTCTGTGATACAAGGGAATCCCCCTTGTGAACAATTTCGTCTTTGGGAAGCCCTTTCTGTTGTATCATAGAAGTGGTCATTCCCCACGGCCCTGTTGCTGAACGCAGAGGAAACAACCACATAGTTTTTTTGGGGCGACCCCCTTTTCGGGCTCTAATTATTTGTGAATTTGCAGGGGAAAACGGGGTGTGTTGGTTCTGATTGGCGCCAAATGTGTTGCGAGACGTCGATTGGCTTTGATATCTCCCACCGAAAGGGCCCTGGGCGCTGTGGGGCGCTGAAAGACTGACGACTCTTTGTGCCGAAGGCGCAACCAACGCAAAACAAACCCAACAGTTGGTGGGAGGCTTGCCCAAAAACAGATGCTTTCAAAAAGTGTGGTGTCCTTTTCGGTTTTTTTGGTTGAAAGGCGGCAGAAACAAGACCAGGGTCCAAAAACTTGCTGTTTTCAGCAGGGAATGAGTTGGAGTGACCCCTATAACCCTACTGTGGATGGACAAAATCCTGCACCACTTTGAAACCATGGTCGAAACCATAACATTTGTTGGTATTTACGGGCTTCCTAGGTGGTGCGAGATGGATGTCGTCCATCCACAGTATGGTTTCCTTCACGGGAATCCCCCAACACCTCTGGGTCATTCCCCTCTGCCCCGCACTCAGTGGCTATGGCGGGCTCGGTGGTACTGCGAGTGCCGCGCTGAGTGCGATAGAGATCTGGGTGTTTGAGGCCTCCGTTTTTGGGGTCATCCCTAAGGTAGACTTCAACCCATTCCCTTTTGGGCGCCCTTTTGGAGATCCTGATCCGTTTTGTCTTGTCTTACACCAAAGGGGAACCGGCCCATGTTGGGTTTCCTTTATATCCTCCAAGTGCAACGCCTTTGTGCCCAGGGGCTGGATGCAGTTTTGCAGCCCAGGTTGCGCTCCGTCTTTGAGCTCTGGGGAGGGATCCAGAAGTTGAATTTTGATTTCGGACTCATCCATGTTGTTGGCAGCGGGTTGCCAAAAAAGACAAGCAAAAGCGAGAAGGCATCATATCTTGCCTACACAGGACACGGCTTCTTGCTAAAAACGCGACTGCAACGAAGCTCCCCCGGTTTTCCCACGAGATATTCTCGTGAATGCGGCTGGGTCCTATTTCGAGGAAGTTTGCGGCTGTCGGCTTGAGGTCTCGGGAGTACTTCTCGCAGTGGAGGCCAACGGCAGGGAAATTGCCATGGACTTTTTCAGGTCACAAGTTAATTCAAGCCAGTTAGTTTTCAATGTGTCCGTGTAGCCAGTGGCCACTTTGCCTCGTGTCTGTCCTTGTCAAGTTGCGGCTTTGGGGCTTGAATTCCCTCATGCGCATGATCACGGAAGGAGGTCCGATACACGTGACTCATGAAGGGTTTGAAACACTGACCGGCAAAACACGCTTGGTAGCTACTTCCCATTTGGCGGGGCCATCATTCCCCAATCCGCTTGCATGATTGCTTGAGAAAGGGTGGCACAGACAATTACTCACTTACGACCAGACATACGCGTATTTTGTTTTCCTCACTTGGGGAACTGGTAGTGCCCCGTTTTGGATGCACGCGCTTCGACAATGTCCGGGTTCCCCCCTCTCAATATGTCCATTATGTGCGTGTGTGTGTGGGTGGGTGGGTGGGTGGGTGGGTCGTGCGTGCGTGCGTGCGTGCGCGCGTGCGTGCGTGCGTGTGTGTGTGTGTGTGTGCGGAGTTCAACCCTACCCCTGCTCAGCTGTTTTGTTTTGAGGAAGGGCTTCCCTCTCACGAAGCGGACGTGTGGCTCCGGCTGAGACGACAAACATTTGACCACCCCTCCAAACGAGCGGGCAGGCGGCGGCGGCAGCCCGTACCCCAGCGCGACCCGGTCGGCCAGTTGGCGGATTGGGGGCTGATCAATTTTTCCGTGAAAGGCCCCCAGTTTGGACCACGGGTCACTTTTCCCATGTTGGAAAGTGGCTTTCCAACCAGTGGTGAGTCCGCCCAAGACCCTTGTTTATGTTCGATTCTACGCCCGGGTTCAATTGCGTGACCAGGGATAAAACGCACCTTCCGCAAAGTGTTAAACCTCATTTGTGTTCGGGCGTATTGCTCGAGTCTGCAATGTTAGGATGCTCAGGCTGATACCGCTAGGATTGAAAGGCTAGGCACAAGCCACGCATAAAATTAATTTTCGAAGTCAAAAAGTAGTACCCTTCCCACCAATGAACATGGAACCTAACAAAAAGTTCCTTCAACAAAAAACTTGTCTTCTAGGACCCCTCAGGTTCCAAGTTCATTGGGGAGGGTGTCAGCTTTCTTCTTTCCCATCTCAACCAGATCCCTTCCCATTTTGTTTTTCCATGAGACGAGTGAACTGGTTCGATCTCCGAATCTCTCGCGTCCTCGTTTTGCTTCGTAGACGTGAAGCACAGCTGGTGTCCTCCGGGCGAAGTGTCCAGATGGTGCCCACAGAAGACCCTTAATGCAGAGAACATGGCGACATTGAGAACCTAAGACACATCTTGGTGACATGGCCATTTAATATGGTGACATGGCCATCTTAAGTCATCTTGGTGACATGATTTAATATGAGCATGGCCAACTTCAAGATGTATCAGGCAGTTGAGGGCAGGTATGAGAGCAGTTGACGAAATGTATTCTATCGAGCTTCACGTTTTGCGACCAATGCCAAGTAACTGACCTCTCAATGCCCCGAAGATAGACAAAACATATTGGGCTGGCCGTTCAACAGGTTGGTGATAATCATCACTGTGGACTCCTACGAGAAGTCCCTTGCGCTACTTGTACTAGTTCATCCTGCAACTGTAACTAGATTTGTCACTCTCACCTGCCCCACGCAAATGATGCAATATTCATAGGATTCCACCCCCCTTCGTCCCTTCGTCCCTTACCCCCCCCCCCCCCGCCCAAGAACAAATCACACCAGCGTAGACCTCAGATAGCAAAATCAGGCGGAGGATTGCGCACCAGCACCCCTAACAGCACCCCCGGACTCGAGCACCCAAAGCTGCATGCCCCCAAGCACCCTGCCATCAATCTTGCAAAAACGCCACACACCAAAACAGTACCTGCACCAGCACCCCAAGCTGCACCAAACAGCAGCCCAGAACAACACCCCCCCTGCACCCTGCCGTCAATCTCGTAAAAATGCGCCCGCACCGTCACCAGCACTCCCAAAACAGCACCTGCACCAGCACCCCAAACTGCATGCCCCAAAGCACCTGGTCAATCTTGCAAAACTGTGTTCGCACCGTCACCTGCACCAAAAACAGCTCCCCAAACAGCATGCTATTAGAAGTTAGAACCCCTATAGCTTTCAGCTATCTGGGGAGACTATAGCTTTCAACAATCTGGAGAAATAAGACCCTAATGGGGCCTTATTGAGGATCTATTTGGAAGGCACAGCGCCGGGGGGAAGTCGATGGTCCATGTGGCCATCAAAATCCAAATCGTACCCCCAGGGAACATCCCAATCCAACCACTTAGAATAGACTTTCCTTGGGTGGTGCACCTATCCCAAAATGGTGGTTTTGACCCACAGCCATGTGACTGGCTGAACGGCCCTTCGGTGGCTCCTGATTTCAGATTCACAGTAAGTCACCCAGACGGGTCCCTTTTGGTCAAGGTGGTTGACATAGATGGTACCACCGGATCTACTGGTTGGATTCACCCACCAGCGAGGTGCTGGCACATCTACGTGCAGAAATTTCGGAACGGAACCGTCCGAGTGTCTTCAACTCGCACCTTTCATGGTCAAGATCTTTGGACATGCACTCCTATTTCGCATCTACTTATGTGCCCTGCCACCATAGGTGTCCTTTTTGTTTGTTTTGCTAAAACTAGATGGCGATTCCTGGTTTACCTGGTGTTTTTTTTTCTCATCCACCAGGGCCCTGGCTATTTCCCCTCAAAGGACACCTATGCTTCGGAACCTTTGGGACCTTCGGAACCTTCCTGTTTAACATCTACTTCTGAATTCCATGTCCAAGTAGTCTACTTACTACTTATCTACTTAGCTAACATCTACTTCTGGATGAATTTCTTGCCACCGTCCCTGGAAATTCATCCTCAGTCCCAACCGGAAATTCTCCCGCGCCGAGTCCTGGCTCGCGGCGGCCCGCCGGAATCTCAGGGCACAAAGGGGGTCCCTTGGAGGATGAACCGTTGTGCTCATAGGTGTCCTTTTTAGGTGAGCCTGGTTAAAAACATAGATGGGTTCCACTGGTTTAGATGGGTTTTGTTCCATTTACCAGGCTGGGCCATCTATTTTGCCAAAAGGCCACCTATGGAAGTTGTACCTCTGTTAGACTCCTCATTGTACATTAAGAAGGTAGTTGGACTCTCTAGGATTTTTCCCTGTTTGATCCAAGGTGATACCTATCACCCCAACTAGGTCCCCCAGCTAGGTGCCCTTTCTCACCCAACTTTTTTGGATGGGAGGGTTCCCCTACTGAAATGGACTGCAGAAAAAGTTGGTTCCCTTATTCTAACCTCTCTACTGGAGGAGCTGGTCAAGAAGGTAGTTGGACTCTCTAGGATTGAGTTTATTTGCCCCTGTTGGTTTCGTGTTTTTAGGGGTTCCCTTCAAAGTCAGCCGACCAAAGTGGGGCCCTTTTTTCCCATGGCCATGGGAGCTGGGGCCACCTGCTCTCAATTACATCATCAATTAGTCTAGTTGGACTCTATTTTTTTTTGTAGAGGGAAGTCCAACATGATACCAAGGGAAGTTCCGAAGAAGCTTTGGTAGCCCCACTTTGGTAGCATAGTGACGGTGCAACTGTCATAACCATGCCCCCTGAGCCATGTCTTGTTGTTCAACTGAGTTGGCCCACTTTGGTACCACAGAAACAGGGTACAGCGCTAGGGTGGCGCAGGATTTAGTCTTTGGCTCCATTTGCCAAGGGCGCGATTTTGGTACACGTTTTTGAGCTCCAGCCATATTGGAAACCAACCACCGATCTCACCAACCATCCCCGACTGGGCCAACACCATATCAGCATGATGCAGATCCTTTACCCGCCCGATAGGGATGCCAGTGATGCTGTTGATGCAGGGGATGCGGCCTGGTGCAGGGGATGGTGAGTGCTGCTTGCTGTGATGTTGGTGTGCTCGTTCTGTTGGCTCCTTTCTTGTCAAACTGTTGACAGAGTTTTGAGGTCTATGTTGGGTGTTGGCGTGCTTCCAAGTTGCCCACCGCATCCCTTCAAGCCAATCGGCGAAAATCAATGAAGTTGCTGTCGCTTTTTCTTTTGGATTCTTCAAAGTCTCTTTTTAGGTTCTCTTTTTGCACACATGCCGCGAAAAGAACACAAACACTGTGGCTTGACCAGAAGTATCTTTGTTTGAACCACCAGGCTGTGCACAAACGAGGCCCTGAGTCCGGCCGATTCTCGCCCGGCGGATTCTCGCCCGGTTTTCGCGTCGATTTCGCGCGGGTTTCTTCCCGCAGGTCCGGGCGCAGGAAGCCCACGAGGCAGGGCCTCGACGACGAGCAGCTCGAGGAGATCCGCGAGGTCCGGTTCGGAACGGCCGGGCCGCTGTGCAAGTTTCTCTGTTCCAGTTCTTCTCTTCCTCAATTTTGTAAAATAGGTGTCCTCCCAGGGCTGCGGTGTTCAAGACCTAATCCTAATCCCCAATGATTAGCGGATTGCGGATTGTGCGGTTTACGGATTAGATTCTGCGGCTTGCGGATTGCTGATTATTGGGTGCACGGATTTTCCATGCTCCAACATAATGCTTTGACCCAAAGTTTGAAGTCATTGAAGCGCGGATTACGGATTAAGAAGATTACCAAACCAATCAACACAAGGATTAAGCGGATTTCGGATTGCGATTAGGCCCCCAGGATTTCGAACAGGCTAGCCCCTCAGGGTTGGTGTTAAAGTGAACTTATTTGGACACATATTGTTTCATGTCGACTCTTCCCCGGGGGCGTAAAAGCAAATGGAAGGGGGCCTCGTCTTGCTGGTTTGATAGGCAGGGAGCGAGAATGGAATGACCCAAAGAAAAAAACATCCCCTATGGTTTCCTGCATTACAAGGAAATCCCTAGGCTCATTGCGGAAACCCGGACTCTGCTGAGCACCAGAAAGTTGTCCGTTTTGTCGGCCCAACTTGTTTGGTTTGGACACGTAGCATGGCACCCGCTATTATCATAGTCGGTTCCCACGACGCCTGTGTTGGTTTCGCTCCTCACCCATTTGGGCGCCAGCAAGCATTGACCTTTTCCCAGATATTACATGGTGAGTTGTAGACCAATTTTTCAGGGCGTTCCCCCCTTTAGATGGTCATTCCCCACCCGACAGGAAGGGGTTGTTAGATTTTATGTTGGAATCCGCGCCACCCAGTATCCCGCCAGAGCAGCTCGCCAGTGCATCCCGCCGAGTATCCCGCTAGAGCGGCCCGCCAGTGGATCCCGCCGAGTATCCCGCCAGAGCGGCTCGCAAGTGGATCCCGCCGAGTATCCCGCCAGAGTAGCTCGCCAGTGGATCCCGCCGAGAATCCCACCAGAGCAGCCTGCCAGTGGATCCCGAGGATCCTGCTCAGTATCCCAGAGTAGCTCGCCAGTGGATCCCGCCGAGTATCCCGCTGAGTATCGCTTGCCGGTGGATCCTGCCGAGTATCCGGCCAGTATCGAGCCGGAGCGGCTCGCCAGCATTCGCCAGTGGATCCCGCCAGTATCCCGCCAGAGCAGCTCGCCAGTTTTGCTTAATGTCGAAAAGGGCAATATGACCCAACGGGTTCTGACTGTGTTACAGCAACGGGCAATGTGTGCTAGGTCCCCCAGCTAGGTGCCCATTTTTACCGTTTCTTGAAAATAGGCTACGGAAAAACAAGGGTACCCTTATTCTAACCTCTCTACTGGAGGACCTAGTGTGAGTTCGCATCCCAAAGGAGCTGTTGGAACACGCAACGGGATGCTCAGGAACGGACAAAAGAGATCTGCGAACCCGGACTGAACAACCCGGCTGGCTATTGCGGGGGAGGGCCCAACAAATAGAGAAAGGGTCTCTTGAATTGATACACTTTTGTTAGTGAAGGACACCGGATAATAGGGACGAACAAGAATGAATGGGGTTACAAGTCATTGAGGGGCTTTAAGACCATGTCAAGTCATGCTTATGAGATCATGATCTTTACCTGATCGACATCCACTTAGGAACCCAGGGTTCCCTTCTTTCCCCTTAGTTATTGGGGTTGGTTAGGGTTATAGGCATGTTATGTTGTGTGACAAGAAATCCCTGTTTTTCCAGCGGAGTTGAGAAGTGTGAGGTTTTCCTGCGACTCCGGGGGGTGATATTTTATGGAGGCTCTTAGCTTTGTTCCTCCAATTGGCATCTTGAGGTGACGGGTGCGATGTGGGCGCGGCTTGCTTCCTTCCTTGCAAGTTGGCGGCCCAAATCGCACTTGTCACCCCAACCAGGTCCCCCAGTAGTGCCCTTTCTCACCCTTTTTTTGGGCGGAGGGTTCCCCTGATAAAATCGACTACAGAGAAAATGGTACCCTCTCTACTGGAGGATCTGGCCAAGGTGTGCCATTCGCAAGTCGCAGCCAATCTCACCCGTGACCCCACATGTCATTCGCCGCAATCCCAACCAACATAGCCAGCCAGCGAATGGGCTTGTGCTTTCGGACCCAAGCAAAAGCACAGCAGACAGGATGAAGCCTGCCCCCCCATGGGGTTCAGACCACTTTCCTCTGTGGTGAGTAAGCTGATGATCTTCATGTCACTTTGGTGCATTTCGCGAAGGGATGTTAGGACTTTAACTTTTTGTCAACGAATTGGTTTTCCATTAAACCACTAAACATTATTCACTTTTAGCAGGGGATCAGAAAGTAACCGAGGTCAGTAGTTTGCTTCACGAAGCCGTTGAAAGCTGTTTCTAGTTGCGCGCATGTGCCTTTGGTGCAGGTGGACCATAGTTGAATACAAATCGTGTTTTTGGGCGCCTCATGGTAAATTCGTTGCTGGCCAAGCAAGAGTCAGGTTTCTTGTTCACCAAGGTGTCTTAACACACTGACATACCGCAGTTTTGTGGGTGTGGAATCCTTTGAGGGTACAGTTTTGGTTGCTTAAACGAAAGCCACAAGGAACAGCAACTGGGTTTTGGGTTCCCTAAAGAAACACAAAAATATTGGGATTGGGTTTTGGGTTTGTGTGCTCATGGTCCAAGGGACCCAAGGACACCCAGCAATTTGGTGGGATCTCCCTACAAACCGACCCCCCGATGTGTGGTCCGATGGACGCCTAGCGGCCAGGCCTTCAACCTCTTCGACACCGAGCAGTCCGGCGCCATCGATGCCCGCGAGCTCAAGGCGCGCTCCGTCGAGGGATCGAAGTGTCCAGGGCTCATGGCATATCCCCAGCCTGATGAGTTCCCTTTGGCCACAAAAACAGCTTAAGCACAAATTATGCAGCTATTGCTGGTACGTTTTCAAGTACTAGTTTGATTCAAGCTTCCAAAGGATGCCCATTCCCTCTCAAATGAACCAAGGCTGCTGGTGAGCTTGACCGAACCCCGTGTCACTTTCCCATCCCCTTTTAGATAGTCACGCAACTGCTTTCTTCGCAGCTGTGTTTGGGTGACAAATTGAATGCAATGTATGTACAGGCTTGAACAGCCGCGCAAAGATTTTGTCCATGATTATGAGAACATTTGGTTGACACTAGCACCTGGCAACCGGGTTTGAATTATTGATTTCCTTGTAGTGACCCCGTGGTGGCTGGTTAGGAAGGGAAACCGCCAAGAAACCAAAGCGCAGTGCTTGTGTACCCATGTACCAATATGCCCTATGCCCATTTTGGTTGAATAGCAGCGCTCGTAGGGCTTGTGAAACATACGTTTTTGGCACTTCTTTGATACCGACTGTTCTTTTGCAAATGAGCGGTCATGGATTTGCACCACAGAAATATTGAAAGTCCGCAACGTTTGAGGATGCCGAGCTTTGGCAAACGCTTCAACCAGAGCCAAGGTGCTACCTTGGTATCAAGAGGTTTTCCACAACAATGCCCCCCACCTGTTGAAATCCATTGGAACCCCCTTAAGAAATCCACACCGTGGATGGACAAAATCCTGCACAACCTAAGAAACCCTGGTTTCTGATGATCTCATGGTAAATACCTGCAAACAATGGTTTCCCATGGTGTCCAAGCGGTGCGAATTGGATTTCGCAACCATCCACAGTAGGAACCTACTAAGTGGGGTGGACTCGCCCAGGCGGCCCTGAGGGCCCTGGGCTTTGAGGTGAAGAAGGAAGACGCCCCTCGGCCTCGTTTTTGTTTTTTCCCCGGCCGGCTGGAGGTTGGCTAGGTCCCCCAGCAATTGGTGCCCTTTCACACCGTTTCTTTTTTGGTTGGGAGGGTTCCCCAACTGAAATAGACTACAGAAAAAAGGTGGTACCCTTATTCTAGCCTCTCTACTGGAGGACCTAGTTGGTGTGAGATGTGGGACGTTGGTGTGAGTTGACCGTTTTTCGGAAATAGGCAAAGGCCTGTTTTTGTGGCTTTCTCTTGGGAGACAGGCAAAGACCTGATTTTACAGGTTTTATGAGGGCTCATGGTTTTATGTTGGCCCGCTTTCAAAGGGATATCCAAAGTGGAGGTCGACCATACGGATGATTGAACCTGTTGCCCACGGACCTGGCACGGAGATCGCTGCTGATGCTTGCAGAAGGCATTCTCATTTGCCCAAATTATGCTTCCCCCAGCTGCGCATCATCCTTTTTGAACATTCCTAGACCTTTCTCGGAATGTTCGCCGTTTTTCCGGATCAAACACAATATGCGCAGGTTTGAAATGAATCACCGCTCAGTTGGGAAGCTTGAATCTGGCATGAAACCTAGCCAAATCAATGTTTCCGTGTATTTGATTTGTCCCTTCAAGATCGGAAATGAGCAACAAAAACAGCCTGGAGCCCCAGTGCCGGTGTTTGCCGGTTCAGTTCACAAACCCCACCCCGGTGGGAGCCTAAGTGCGGCGAGCCTAGGTTAGAAGAATGCTGGCTGACATTGGCAAGGCGCGGGGTTGGCCTGGTTCATGCAGGAAAAGCACGGGCTGGAAGGGTCATGTCTCAAAATCGGGGACACCCCCAAACGAGTGGCGTTCCTTCGGTCTCCCTTTAACACCACCCCAACAAAGGGTACCCTATGATGGTAGAACCAGCCGTGTTTGGTTCTTCGACGCTCACATCGGTCGTGAGTTGTATGCCAAGCACCCACAAACATCGGTGGACACTGCTCGTCGTTATGTGAATGATGTCTAAGCGAGCCACGATTGACATGCATACCCATGTTGCCCACCCACAAACGATTGCATTTCGACCCTTGCCATGTTCAGAAATTCCAGATGACTGGCGTTCCCTTATCCTTTTGGCCTGGGTGAGTCATGTTTGTTTCTACAAGTTTCAGGTTTGTTCGAAAACCAATACCACCATTTGGTGGTCCCCGTATTGAGAGAGCTCCTACCGCAGGACCCATCGCAGCCAATCGACTTCAACGAATTCTGCGAGATGATGAAGGGGAGGCGAACCGGCACCAGGAAAACAGGAAAGTTCGAAACAATGTCCCTTGGTTGGGGCAAGCGGGGGGGGGGGGTATTTCAACATCACTTTTATGAACATTCCCATTTTGACCATGATTTTTGCTGGGATGTGTCCTGCAATTTCCGGACAGCGTGGAGAATATGCATGGTGGGGATGCGCCTGAAACTGGGGACCCCTGAGAGTGGGTTTCTGTTGGTTCCTATTGGAAGTGCAAAACAGATCCCCAACAAGCAGTTGATTTGCCACCTGAAGCTATGGTTCCCACGTGTTCGTATTGCCGGCACGAGCAAGCCTTTATGCTGGATCTTGTGTGCTGACTGTGTGTTGTTTGCGATCAGACATCTCAATCGTGGATGCCTTGGCCAGCAACACCCAGGGGCATACTTACTAGTACGTGTCAACCCTAGACGAGTAAATACCATGACTCTGAACTCACCAGAACCCCGTCGCGCCATCTCCTACTTATTCAAGCAGTGTCAATCCTCATGATGAACAATAGAAGGAGTTCATTGTTCCGAAGTCGAAGCAAAGCATTGGGTGCTAGAACTGGACTACTCGATTAGGAAAAAAACACCGACAAGAAATCAAGCATCTGCAACTGCCAGGTTCCATCGGCTGTATTTGATAAAACCTCTCCCTTCACAAAGCCTCTTTCATCCGGGGTCAACATCTGTGACCCAGTTGCTCAGTGACAGGACTAGAAAGTGTGCAGCCCTCCCCGAAGTGATCCGGGCCTTCAACATGGGACCCTCTGATTCAACAGCAGTCTACTCCAACATCAATTTGTGATATGTGTATGGGTCAAAAATTACACCAGAAAACCGCGGGTTTTAGTCCATGTTTCCATTTCCAATTGGGTTCCAATTGGGGTACCTTTTTTTGGACCCACAGACATATGGCCAGAACCTGAGTAGACTTACCCCAAGTGCCAAGGTCCCAACTCGTTTTCCATGGGGCCGGATGAGTTTTCAGTCGTTCGTTGAGCTTGGATCCTAAGAGGTTTTGCCGGTTGATTCGCGCCAAACGGACCTTGGGGAGAGAGCGAGGGTTGGCTCTTCTTGTTTCAGGGGACCCTCCAAACTTGGCGGTTTTCCTCTTGGTTCCCCTTCAAAACCAGTAAAAAGGGGGTAGCCAGAGAGAGCATGTTTAGTCTTTGAAGCTTTCATATAGTTGTTTTGTGTTTTGGGGCGCATGGAACGCGCAATACAACATGTTCAAACCAGGGAAACCAAGCAACCCTTTGCTTGGAGCCGAAGAGCCCAGGATGCCCGACAAGAACTCCAGGTCAGAGATCGACAAGGTGGGAACGAAGTCAGACAGTCGCCCCCTGCCTTACCTTTTGTTTGGCGGCTCCAAGCTATCCGGTTCCTTAGCCTTTTAGGTGTTTATGGGTTAGTGGTATTTGAAATCAACCCACTGAAAGTTAAACCTTTAGCAGCGGATCTGCGGGTAGCCCAGTTTAGAAAAGCAAAGCGGTTGCTGAAACATGTGTAGGACACTGCCCCCACTCACAGTCCCCTTCTTTGGAAAGACCAATCCGGGAGGTTGGTCTGGAATACCATCACCCACCACCACGTTGGTTGAACAGTATTTCAGACCCGGGTCAATTGGCCCAACGCTGCTTTGAAACACATCTAGGGACCCTTTAGCTTCAGAGCCTGAAACCCAACCCCACTCCTTTGCTTATGAACAATAAAAGACGATGCATGGGGTGTGTTTTTTGAGGGCTCCCTTTTCAGGCTTGTTGAGAGGCATCCCCCCCTCACACATCCATCCGGATGTCCTGACATTCCTTGGGAACTAAAAGACCTTTTGATTCCGGATGTCCTGAAATTCTTCAAAGCTGACCCAACCAAATGGTCTGCTGTATGGTGTGTGGGTGTGTGTGTGTGTGAGTGTGTGCATTTTCCAAAGCTCAGGTCAATGTTCCAAACCTCTGTTTGCGGGTCTGATTCATGGGGGGAGTCCAAATTTTGCCAACCCCATTTCTGCAAACTTGCTGGTGATCAGTGGGGAATGAGGGAATGAAGCCAGGGATTCCCTTAAAGGAAACACCAGTTGGATGGTTAATAAGGGTCATTCCATTTCTCATTCCCTGCCGGACAGCAGGACCAGTGGGTTGCTCTTTCAGCGCAGGTCTTTGCACTCTTTGACGAGGATGAGACGGGCAAGATCTCCTTTAGAAACCTCAAGCGCATTGCACAGGCGTGTGGTTGCCGGTGAGGGGGGTGCGCATCACCAAGAGGGGCCGCATGCCAGGCCAGCAATCCATACCAACAAGTAAACTCAAAGCGACCATCGCAAGCGTAGGATGTTTGGTGACAACTCCAGCAGTATGCGATATACGATTGCTACTAGTGTTGTGGCTTGTTGTGCCGGCCTGCCAGCCAGACGGCCAGCCAGCCAGCCAGCCAGCCAGCCAGCCAGCCAGCCAGCCAGCCAGCCAGCCAGCCCACATCAGCCCATCCATCAATCAACCAACCAGTCAACCAGTCAATCAATCCATCGATTGGTGAATCCACATTTCTTATTGGCTGCTTCACGTCCGCCGCCTCTTGGTTTGTTTCACCTCGGGGACCCCGGGTCCCCCTCACAACCTTACTAAAATGGTACCATCAAGCAGAGACACCTGTTTCTACCTGGAAATTCCTCCAGAAACGTGGCTTGGACACTGTCCAGTTGTGCGTTGAAAGGCCTCATTTCTGGATCAGCTCCCTGCCAAGTTGCAATCATGATAGTTTTTCAGGGCGTGTGATACCTGCAGAGTTTTTGCTGAACATGAAGACCCCTTCCATACGTGCACTTCATTTTGGCCAGCTGCATTTTGAGCGACCCGCCAACATGGGGAATCCCAATGTTGAAACATTGCCACGATTTGGAGAGCCATGGGGATGCCACCAAGTAGCCTTGATTCTTCTAAAGGTTCACAAGGTGATCAAGAAATAACGCAGGCCGTATGCGGTCTCAAGCATCGTGATGGAAGCAGGCGCCAATGGATTTACACGCAACATGGTGGACCCAGACCGAGCCATAGAAACGACAGGCCTCCAGCTGAGCCCGTTTTCTTTGTTTCAACAGGGGGGTCCTTTCGAATCAGCCCAAAGGTGTCCTCTTTCCCCACAGAAATCCACAAAGTCCAACACAGTTGAAACGAGGATTTCCCCAGACCAAAAGGCGCGCAGGTCCCGGGAGTTTTTATTTTCAAGCAGAGGCGTTATGAAGGCGGGTGTGTTTCCTATGGGGAATCGTACCTAGAGCTTTAGCGAATCCTTTTGGCTCTAGGCACCAGTGGTGGGTCGAATGTTCCCAGCCATCTGGTCCCTCGGGTTTTAGGTTTTGAGTTGACTTAGTGCTTGGGTGTCCATTTCACAGTGAACCCTGACCTGGAATGGTCCCTTGGGTGTCCCGTTGGTTGGTGTCCCTTGGGTTTTCAGTTTTGGCCACCCACAAGTGAAAAACTTTTCGCAGATCTGAAAACGGACAGCCCAGTTTTGGCCCTGACCTGAACGGTCCGATGTCATTTCAATTGGAGCTCCCGAACGTCGTGCCAACTTTAGACAACCCAACTTTCTCCAAGTCCCCCAAAATCTAGAACCCACTTTTAGGAAAACCAAAAAACAAAACAAAACAAAAAACAGAAACCAACACGGGAAACGCTTTTTCGGTTTCCCTTTACCAACCAAAGCCGGAGGGGTCGAACGAACCTCCCATTCCGAGCAACGCCCGCCAGCTCAGTCCAGCGGTGCGGACTCGACCGCTGGACTCAGCCGCAAGGAGCTCGGGGAGAGCCTCACAGACGAGGAGCTCCAGGAGATGATCGAGGAGGCGGTTCCTCTGTTCCTCTCCCGCGGTTCCGGGCGCCATAGGGGCCATAGGGCGGACCTTTTTGGGGTTCGACCAAAACTTTGGTGCGTTTTCTGGAAATCAATTTCCGAGGTGATACCATGTTTTGGGGTTCCCTTATTTTGGCACAAACCCGTTGGTGGGTGGAAAAGAAGGCAACAAAACTTTGGTGCATTTTGCCAAGGGATGTTAGGACTTTTACTTTTTGCCGACTAATGGGTTTTCCGAATTAAACTACTAAAAATTACACTTTTAGCAGGGGAGCAGAAAGCAATCGAGAAAAACGGGGGAAGTGTTCGGTGCTTCAAGATACGAAACAAGATAAAAGCCTGAAGGTTTTTTACGTGATGGGAACCCGCTTACCCTTTGGACGCACTGAGTTCTGGGTTTCCTTCTTTTGGAAACCATTTTTAGTCAAGGTTCCAAAAGGGTGACTAATCTTCTATTTGCTGGTAAGATTCCAGAATGGCGACACAGGTGGACACTGTTCAAACATCACAGTTGTCCTTGGGCAGATACTTGAAGGGCATCTTTGAAAGTGGTCACCTCGAACACCGCTCCCTTTGAAAGGGCAGACAGGCACACAGCAGTTCAGGCAACAAACTTGCCAACCAACTTGCATGGGAAGGTCCCCCCCCCCCAAACGTTTGTTTTATCAATATATTGTATATTCTCACTCCCTTGAAGTCGTGGAATTGAAACTTTTTGGGTTTGGACCGCTTTTGTGGCAAACAAGAAGTTTGAACTTTGTTTGGCCTGTCCACTCAGGAACTGAGTCGTTGTTTCCTTGCAGCACTTGGCGCAAAGAGCCGACTAGTTTGGGCACGTCCCACATTGTTGCCAGAAATCACAAGGCTCTGCAAGAGGCTCTTTAAGAGACATAGTCATAGTCGTACTGTGGGCCATGTCTGGGACATTTCATCGCGGGGCCCATGGGAACTTTGCAATTTGGCTGTCAACTTTCAGCGTATAGGAGCAAATGAGGCCATATTTGGTCGTTGCCCCTCTGGTTTTCTAGTGGTCCGTCCAAGTAACTTGTGAGGATACATCCTCACTCACATTGATAGAAGGTAGTTGGGGGGTTCTCAAACTAGGGGTGCCCAAAAATGGTGGGGGGTCTGTTGGTTTCCCTCCAAATACCAACCAAAAGCGGCCCACCATGTTGGAGCAGGCCGACCGGGACGGCGATGGCCTGATCAACCCGGACGAGTTCTACCGCGTCATGCGAAAGCGGGGGGGGAGGGGGGAGGGTGAGGGGGAGGAGGTACCCTTCCAATTATCAACCTGGAACCTGACAGGGGGTCCCTTCAAAAGGAAGCTGGTCTTCCGGGAGCCCACTGTCAGGTTCCATGTGAAAAGGGTGGGAGGGTAGCTTGGCTTGGGTCGGAGATCAATGAGAAGATTGAGGCAAGCCGCCTGACTCAAAGTAAATGAGCGCTCGGCTTGTTTCCTTTTGTCAGAAAGATTTGCAGTGACTCAGGGTCACGAAAAAAGCTTTCCCGGTTTGGTAGGAGACAAGATGACCTCTGCCATGGTCAAATGCCACCCCCCGCAAGGAAGTTAGACAACCAGGATAAGGATTCTTATCTGTGGAGCCTGGTCAGGTTTCAGCCGCTCGGATCGCTGTCCGGCATGAACTTGTGCCATGCTACACTGAAATGGATGTGCCATGCCTTTGTTTCAGGCCGCCCTCGTGTGGGTTGCTTTTGCAGCAAAGCGTTCCGAAACGAAAGGCCAACAACCATTCTGAGGGCCTTCATTTTGAGACAGATCAACATGCTGGAAAATCGAGGCTCGCTTGGCAGGGTGGGCAGCGTTATGGTTTGTTTTGTTCCATGTGAAATGTTGCAACTGTGTCCAGGGATGTGTGAGTCACATGTGCGCCTGTGTTTGGGGGTGCGGAGTAGACAGGAAACCTATGGGCTGCTGGATTGTTTTGGGGGAGGGACGGCGCTAACCCAAACCCGCTTCTTTTGAAGCCGGATGGCCATGCCAAATGTTTGACCAGGCGCGGAGGAAACCCCTTGGACGACTGGGACAGCGATGAAGACTGAGGAGTGCCGGCGTCGAAATCTGGGATTTAAATAGGGTAGCAAACAGGCCCAGCTTGTATCATGACAGTTCAATTCTGAAACATCCTAGAAGCCATTCAAGACCCATGCATTTTTGGGGGCTGGGAGGGGGCGTGGTGCCCTCTTTCATCCATCCCGCCCTCCCTCCCTCCATCCGTCCATCCATCCACACTAGCCAAGTCCAGGACTACCCCCATGACCGGCGGTTTGGCAAGTGCCCTATTTCAGGAAGCAATCCTGGAGCAAGGCTGGCAAGGCCAGCTTTTCCGTTGTTTGTTTGTTTGTTTGTTTGTTTGTTTGTGTGTGTGTGTCCCGTTGTTGGTTTCGCTTCTGGCATCAAAAGCCGGCGCACAAACGCTTGCCCAATGGATGGAAGTTGTCCACAGACTGTCGATCCAACTCAGCTGTTGATTTGATGCCAAGGGCTTGAACATGCGCACACATCCGTGGCTGCGGTCTTTCTTGGGCTTTGTTTATAGCCCACTAGTTGGGTTGTCTTGGGCCAAAAGGAATTCCATGGGGACCCCTCCCAGTAGGCAGATTTTTGCGACCACCTGGCACGAGTCGACGTCGCCATCTAGATTCCTTTCAGGAGGCCTTATTTTGGACGGTGAGTCGTCTCAATGTACCCAATGCGATGGTCAAGGGACCTGATACTTTCCAGCTCGCTCTACAGTGAGCGGACCATTAGCAACTCTTTGGCCTGGTTGGTACAGTGTGCCTGGGCTTGTTCTGACCAATGCTCGAGAAGTGCTCTGGGTGTTGATAGGCATTGTCATCAATCGGAATCTTAGCCAACCAGTGTTGAGGGAACGACCACTTCGCAAAGGATCATAAAGAGACTTGACGGGATACAGAAATGGGCCTGCCTCAACCATCAGACTGTTTTTGTTCTTGCAACGGGTCACCCGTTGATGATGACCGAGTTTGCAAGTGAAAGTCCACGTTGATGACTTACAATATGTGCAGGTGCCCCAAACCAACCTAGCCTCGCAAGCCACCAATTTGGGGGGATAAGTTGGTTGTCGGTTTTTGTGTTCATAGTGACATTGGCGGCATCTCAAAATATGCCAGCGATACGACATGTAAGCCCAACCTGATCCTCATGAGGCCTGATGGTTCGATTTGGGAATTTCAACATCGCAACCAGCCTTCACCGCTTAGACCTATGATTCAATGTTCAGCATCTTTTTTTTGGTCAGGCTCTTTTCGACTCCAGGATTGCTGCATTTCACTGCCCTGTGTGAGCGGCGTTTGCGGGTTATCCACAGCAAAATTCGCTGTGAGGGGAAGGGTGCATTGTGCATGTCATGGACGTCCCGCATTCCTGATTAGGAATTGGCGCACCGCGAGTCTGCAAAAAAGCAGCCAGGTTTATAGTTTGAGGCTTCCTTAAAGGATACATCCAAACAACTCATTTTCAATGGGATTCCTTCTTTTGTGTTAAATAAGGGTTGCATTTGGGGTGTTATTTGATCTGGCAATGTGTCCTTGAAAGGACACAGGTTGAGGGCCGCCCCTTGTTTGAAGTCAATCCACTTGTCCATGGAGCTTGTAACTTATCGGCTCCAGAATGGCGCCGGGTTGATGTGTTGATATGTGCGAACCTCAGCTCGCTTCGCACCGGTTTGGGAAGCACGGAATAGGACTTGTGGAAGGGGCCCTGTTCACTTTGGGTTGGTTGGAAGGCATCTTTTGTTTGGGAGATCGAGTGGATTTATCGATTCGGAGTTTT